CTTTAGCCATGTAACTCCACTTCCACCACAGCAGACCACTGTGACAGCAAATCCCATAATGCTTTGAGAGGCGCGCTCTCCACGCAAAGCATTCCAGGATATGGCAGTGGTGAAGAAACTATTCTGCAATCTGCTAGACCTGCATGGGATGCTTTGAAGTATCTTTCCAGAAGACAGCAGGGAGAACAGTCCATGTTGGGGGTGTCAAGAGTAATTTATAATGAATATAATTTATTATGTTTAATTTTATTTATAAATGCAAGCACGAGTTGCTAATAAAGGTTTCCTTTTTTATAAATCAAGACTTGAGTAACATTTGTTATCGTGGTGTCACTTTTATCATCTTAATGGAAGAAAAGAAACTGACTAATGGGTCTAGATAAGAATCAGCCCCAAAAAAACATAAAAACTGCAGAACATATCAGGGTTTGGTTAGACTAATGTCAACATAATCAATTTCAGCCATTAAAAACCTGTATTGGTCAATCTCTAAAAAGTTTGTACAGCACGTCAAATATAGTGTGCCATTTAACTCTTAATATCATGGCTAACAAAGCATAGATTTCCACTGCAGAAAGAAAAACCAACTGAAAATAAAACTAAAACAAAAGTCCTTCTATGCTTTCTTCAGCACCAATTCTGAAGGACCTCCAAATGTTTGACACAGGTGAGCACAGGGCATGATAGGTACATTTATTCCTGCCCATATTTGCCACTCATCAATCTCTCTGTGTGTGTGTAGTGTAGGGTGATGCTACTTTAGCTGACAAAAACATTTTTTGATTCTTTCTTTTTTCATCTGTTGTTGACTTAAATGACAACAACATTTGCTGGTCTGTAGGTGCCATTTATGACTGGTAGAACCGGGCTTAACGTGCTGTTCAAAGTGCCTGTCTGGTAATCATTTTCAGTGCAAACAGGAGGTGCAGTAGTTCCTTTAAAAACATTAAAACTTGAAAAATAGTTTTGATTAAATCAACAATTTTTTTTTTTATAGCAACTTGCATCACACTGATAGCTGAAGAGCTTCGTAATGAAATACGGCTTTTCTTTATTGCTAATCTGATGGTCCTGTGCAGAATCCTCACCAAACATCAGCTGGTATGTTTTTTCTCATGGAGTGGTAACTTTAGTAAAAACACCACCGTTTTACAGTTTCTAATCAAAAATGTAAAACAAAAAAATTTACAAAATGTAAAAACTAACATTTTGTAGCTGTGAAGCTCTAACTGTTTTTAACCTGAGTCTAAGAAATATTAAATGTTTTCAATGTAAACTTAGAATAGCAGTTAGTAATGCACAATATGGACTCCAAATTATATTTTCTGTAATATAAAACAGCATTTTTTTCAGAAACGCGTTTCTGCCTAAAACAGGAACCACATTAAACTATGTGATAAAGGACACACTTATCAAATAATTATTTACATAAGGGAAACATTCAGCAGTGAAACTAAACAGATAAAGTAGTCCATATTATCTGCAGATGTAATACAGTATTTATTGAATGCTTTTTTTTTTTACTAAATGAGTTAAATTTACTTAGTTTGCAAAGCTCACAATCCTTACTTTAAAAAAGGCTTTTAGGTTCACATCAACAATAAAGCTAGCACCCATACCTAGGTCAATGTATGGAGAGTTTAAAACTTTCATTTTTTTTTAAGAGATCTCTGATAAGACTAGATTGTTTATGTTATGTTATATTGGTATTTTTACATATGCCAGTGGGTTGTTTTCCAGCCAATTCTTATGGTTATCTACAGCTGTTTGTTAAAAACTGTGCCTTTAAGTAAGGAAGTTGATTTAAACCAACCAAAAAGGAAAAACAATTGATATTCTTGTAACTATATTCCAAAAGCTGAAATGGCAATAAGAACGCCCTTTGAAGGTGGTTTACCAACTGGGCAAACTGGAAGTTGCCAAACAGCCAAGATTTGTATCCAATATGGCTGCCACTGAGTATAATAAACTAAAGATTGTTCAATAGCACTTCCTCTGGTTTCTTTATCATTAGCCAGGGGCGCTAGCAGTGCTGGAAAATGCCTAATCGGAATCTTCTTGTTGTAACTGTACAATATGGTGAGTAATATAGTCATTGCTACTTGGTTGTAAGAAAACCATGTTAGCACTAAAAGAGATACCCTCAATGTGAATTCTGTAAATCATAGCTCCATTTCCTTCTCCATTTACAGGGTCAACAGTAAAATAACATTTAACATTTAATAATTATCAGGGGTAAGATCTTCATACTATTGCGCCGAATTCAGGCTGCCTTTATTCTTATAAACATAATTTCTGTACAAAGACACACATAGCAGATACTTGTCTAATTGGGGCTCCTGCCTTTTGAAAGAGCAAAAAAAAAAAAAAAGCTGCCCATATGTAGTACACAGCATAAGCTCTCTACTATGAAACCATAACATATGAAGAGGTGTACATTAAATATAGTGATGCACGATCTAACATTGAAGAAAGTTCTAGATCAGGTATCACTGAAAATGAGCCCAGTCCATAAGAGCAGATGTACTCAGTTAATTTCTATAATAAATAATTCAAGTTGGGTTGAAAAATCATTTGATCAGATGAAAAGTTTACCCTTATGTTTAAATGCTTAAACTTTTAAACATTTCTATAAGAAATGTTCCCTCCACAAAGACTTCAACGCCATTACACAAATATAGTCGTTAGCTTTACGCAAGACTGTTTACAACAGCGGTAACATTGTTCCCCTGTTTAATAAGACACTGTTGAATGTTTAAACTTGAATGGTTGCAATACTTTTATATTACATTGAAAGTAATCATATGTAATGTTGTTTAGTCAATAAATGAATGAAAAATAGATCTGTTGCTTTTCCTGCACATGCCATCATTTTTAAATAAAAGGGGGTAGAGCACTAATCATGCATTTATCTATATAGTGTTTTTTTATTTACAAACGGAACCACATAAAGTTAATTCTGCATCATTGTCTCTATTCAACAATGTAAATATTTGCATGCTAGAATGTGGAGTGGTTAATGTTTCAGCTCTAGGATTCATGTCACCACCCAATCCGTACCGGTAGCACGATCCATGCCTTCAGCTCATTTGCGCATTCGCAGCCAAATATATATCCGGGCTGCCCTTGATTTTGATTTGTAAAAAAGACCTAAATCATGTTTTTACCTTCTTAAAAACAGTAAGCGTAATAAACTATAATGTGTAAAATGTTTATGATGTATTTCTTGAGAAAATAAATGTCTTAGAATCCTCTCTTTTAACACTCATCTGTGTCCAATCTGTACAGGAAATGGGATCCTACGCTACTGCCAGGGGCTAACTTTTGTGGCTTTGGATTTAAATATAAATCTAGTCTTTTTGAGTTTTATTTTTTCCTTTCGTGTTAACCTTATGGTATACAGTGCATCATCTAAGAAAAGAAACAACTAAATGGAGTTAAATGTGGTTTAATCATATTTTGCGGGACTACTCTGAGCATGTCTGATGATGACAGAGAAACAGTTTAACTAAGAAAATGTAAAAAGCATCAAATTGTCTCAAATAAGTCATAGAAAATGTCTTAAAGCTTTGTATTAACATTCTTTAGTAATTTAAGGATAGAAATAAGTAGTTTTAGTACCATAATTACATTATTTATGGAAACCAGGATGAATATCTGCTTGGACATACACAAATGAGCTAAGGGTACGGATCGTGCTAGTGGTACGGATCGGGTAGTGACATGCATGCTAGAGCTGAAACATTAACCCATTCATATTTCAGCATGAAAACATACTGTTAAATAGAGACAAGGATTCAGAATTAACTTTATGTGGTTCTGTTTGCAAATATAAAACACTGGATTAACGCCTTCATTTATCACCTAAATTGCTCATATTTAGCTATGCTGCATTGCAGAGCAACAAAACATCCCTGCTGTGATCAGAAAGACGTGATTTAAGGATAATAAAATAAAGGGCATTACAAAATATGTTTATAATTTGAAGAAAAATACATGCTAGCAATAAGCACAGCAAATGGAGGTGAGTGAGTTTATGCACTTTATTTTATAAATATCTCTCGTTCATTGTGTGAGAAAACTGTATTAGGTCAGTATTTTCAATACAGCTGGCACAATAAACAAAATATAATTATGAGCTTTTTTTTGTAACTCAGTATATTGTAAAAACAATATTTAGCCCTTCATGTTATGGAACAATCCTCTTAATACAATAAAATGAAATAAAAACTGCCACCTATAAATTAATGATTAGTCGATTGATAGATTAATAAACTTTGGATTTATTTAATTGATACCTTAAATCCCTAAATTGAATGGAATCTTGGTAAATCCCACTGTTTTCAACCAGCAACTTACATTATCTGAACCTTGCCATTATTTCCAAAACAAACAATTCAATTCAAAAAGACTTTATTTATCCCAAAGGAAATAAACTAAACCTTAACCAGCTACCTTATATGATGTCACTAGATAACTGTGTCAATATTTGTTTGTTTTTGCTTTAAAAACATTTATAAGAAAAAGTATATACTGTTTCTGAAGTGAATGTGTTTTTTTATTAAAATAATGATGCTAAATACCTTTAAATGTTTTTGCTTTACCTCACAGGTTAAACAATCAGGCAGAAGAGCAGCTGTCCCAGGACCTCACAGCAAAGCAGCATCACACAACAAAATTACCTCTAATTTAAACCTCACAGACGTAATTAGTTTAACGATATAAAACAATTAAGGCTACTTTAAGAAAAAAAGATGCTCTAAAACGAAACAGGAGATTAAATTGTGTTCATAAGTTTGAAACAAACGTGCTTTTTTTACTATAGTTTTCTCTTTTTTTGTCTTAGCAAAATTTCCCTCCGTTCAAATGTCAAACAAGCGCCTGTATCCTCGCTCGCTATTTTTAAAACGCCAGCGTCATTTGTCGGTGTTTCCTAACACTATTTTCACCTGTATCCACGTTGTAGCGAGTAATTAAAAGACCCGGAACCATGTTCTTACCTAGAGAGAGTCGTCAGATAACAAGGTGAACATTTTCCCCTCCCCGGTCAAACCAACGGCTGCCCCGCTGCTGCCGCTGCTGCTGCTGCACGCCTGCTCCTCTTGTCTGGTAGTAGTAGCTAGACTTTCACCAGGCAGTTTTCACTGAGAGCTCAGACTCCGACTCGAGCTCAAAGCTGATTGGTTTATCTTCCTGTCAGTCACAGCAAAACGCGGAGTAGACATAGCAACCGCATAGAGGCGGAGCAAAGATTGTACACCAGCCTCCGATTGGCTGTCGCCGGCCACCGTTAGAAGCAGCTACAGATAATCAGGAACGTTTGATTATTGAAGAAAGAAATGGTTAAATATCTGAGGTTTACATAAAAAAAGCTATAAAATTCAGACAGTTGTTTTGTAAGAATACGGACGAGATATTATATAAACATAAAATGTAGTTTTTGTATAATTAAAACCATAAAGTAGATTCTAAAACCCGGATCTTTACATGTGCACCTTTAAAGTACGTTTTGGTAATTGCATGTTCATTAGAAACCTTAAAATTGATCAAAAATTGATAAAAATCAAAATCAAGTGTACATTTTTATTAAGCAGTCATAATCTACAAAAGAGAAAAGCAGCTCAACTATCATTTGAATATGGATTCACAAATGTTCACCACAAGGCACTAATAAAATAAAGGATATATGCTTATAATAAAATAAATTTGGTCTTTTTTTATCTAATGTGAGACTAAAGTTAAAACCTAAAGTTGAATCCACTGATATGGACAGGGAATGTCTTTGAGTAAATAAAAACCTAATCCAGAGGTGGGTAGAGTACTAAAAAATTTACTCAAGTAAAAAAAGCACTACCTCAAAGAACAGTAAAATGTAGCCATCCTAATTACTAAAACAGGAGTGAATAAGCAGGTAGTACAAAAGCAATTTAACCCTTTAAAGCCTGGACTATAAAATAATTGACACTTTATTAGAGTTGTCATTGAACTTTCTGACAAATGACATCAAAAAAGAAAGTTTGTATACGGTAGGTTAAATTAGATCATTTATTTGCATCAAATTTGATAAATAAGGCATTTCTCTATAATCTTTCAAACGTTTTCTGTCCCCCACATGCGATTTATTGTGTAAGTCAGGGTTTTCAAGAATAAAATGAAGATGTAGAGGTCTCAAAAACCTATGTATCATATATAATACAATTTGCTTTAAAGGGTTAAATAAGCGGGTTATAGAGAGGCTGTGTAAATGTTTTACTATTTAAAATAATGCAATCAGACAGACCATAATATAAAGTTAAGTGCAAATTCCTTTTATTGAAAAGAAATACATAAAAACATAATGGAACATAAACTCAAAAGACGCAAAATATACACTTCTAAAAATTCATTGCTAAACATAAAACGTATGAAAATATTCAACTTAATGGCTGTATGATCAAACAGAGTAAATTACCTCCAGTGAAAAAAAATGCCTCATTTAGCCCTAAGTGACTTTCATATCATAAAGTCTCAGCAGATAAAAGCAACCTTAAAACAAAAAGACTTTGTACAAAAAAAGAAATTTAATTTTAGTGAGACTGTAGCCGTCAGTCTGTTTCAGTTCATTTTAGGCTAAAATATGCTTGATCCATATTTGGTAAAACTGGCAAAGAATTTTTACTCAACTAAGAGTAGGGATATGCCATGATACTATTAGTATAGTATACTATACTATACTAAGTAAGAAGTGCATTTAAAGTACTTCTAAAAAGGACTAAATATGCAACTAAATAGAACTAAGTAAATTGCTAACCACCTCTGCTCTTAGAAACTCCTGGATAATGTGTGAAGAATATAAAAGAAAAAACATTAGTTTCATATTTTCTTACTTTTTTACAATTTAGATAAATATTCATATAAAAATTTTATACTTTGCATATTAAACTGAATACCAAATATAATACCACACTTTGAAATTAAAACTGAACCAAATCACAAAGGAAAATCAAATTGTATTAACAATGCAGCATTTCACAACAAGTCAAACTTCAAGTCACTTTACCAAAAAAAATAGCAATTTCAAACCAATCCTACAGGCAGTTTCCAATTCAATAACCTATATTTCAAATGTATCCTCGGTATCAATAAATGCAGTCAAATTTTCATAAATTAAATTCTTACTTTTCAAATAATTGTTTCCTGACTAAGGAAATCAAGCTGATTACATTGCGCAAATGACTTGCAGAATCCACTCATGTTACAATAGCAGCCTGATGACTGCATTGATAGATCTACTTTGCATGCTTAAAAAAAACCCCAAAGGGAAACTCGACTGCAATGGTAAGAAAACTCCCACATCACCATCTTCACGACCAACTGAGGGTTATGGTGACACATTACGTTTATGAGACACCATCAGGGCCTTTTTTTGCAATTAAAGGAAAAGTTTTTTTTTTAAATCACACATTTGACAGAGCTGGTCAAAGAGAATATTAAAAAGAATAAAAAATCTATCTTTAATATACATTTTTTTCAGAGATTTTTTCACACGGGCTGATTCACCTCTATGATCACCCTCCATGTGAATAGATCATGTGTGTTTACCAACCAAAGCATATCATTACGGGGCCCGCTGTAAACACGTTTTCATCAGCCTGCTGTCACTAAACATGTTGTCTTTTTTTCTTTGGTTATCAGGTTGTTAATTATCTCACTCACAGTATTCCGTACATGCCTAAGCGTGAAATTTTACCCCTGTTATTTTCCTGTAGTGTCTGTGTTTGTTTGTCTGTAAATATGTTAGAGTTTCTCTTAATTAGTCCTTTATCCTCAGCCCCTCCTCCTTCCTTTGTGTGTTTTCCATACCCAACCACGCCGGTTATCTCTGTGCTGCTGTCCGTTTTAACTCATCATTCCTGTCCTGTCCAGTTCCTTTCATGACAATTCCCTGTTTTTTTCTAAGCATTTTCTCAATAAATCAACCTAATCTTCTCCATGAGGATGTTCCTTTCCTCCCTGTGCTTGGTTCCAATAACAGAACAATGTCTCAAAACAAATTTAAAACCCATTAATATACATCCATCCATTTTCTGACACACTTACAGGTGCTGGTCATAAAATTAGAATATCATGAAAAAGTAGATTGATTTCAGTAATTCCATTTAAAAAGTGAAACTTGTATATTATATTCATACATTACATACAAACTCATATATTTCAGATGTTTATTTTGTTTAATTTTGATGATTACAAATGACAACAAATGAAAATCTCAAATTCATCATATCAGAAAATTAGAATATTGTGAAAAGGTTCAAAATTGATGGCCCCTGGTGCCACACTCTAATCAGCTAATTAACTCAAACCACCTGCAAAAGCCTTTAAATGGTCTTTCAGTCTAGTTCTATAGGCTACACAATCATGGGGAAGACTGCTGACTTGACAGTTGTCCAAAAGACGACCATCGACACCTTGCACAAGGAGGGCAAGACACAAAAGGTCATCGCTAAAGAGGCTGGCTGTTCACAGAGCTCAGTGTCCAAGCACATTAATAGAGAGGCGAAGGGAAGGAAAAGATGTGGTCGAAAAAAGTGTACAAGCAAGAGAGATAACCGCACCCTGGAGAGGATTGTGAAACAAAACCCATTCAAAAATGTGGGGGAGATTCACAAAGAGTGGACTGCAGCTGGAGTGAGTGCTTCAAGAACCACCACACACAGACGTATGAAAGACATGGGTTTCTGCTGTCGCATTCCTTGTGTCAAGCCACTCTTGAACCACAGACAGCGTCAGAAGCGTCTTGCCTGGGCTAAAGAGAAACAGGACTGGACTGCTGGTGAGTGGTCCAAAGTCATGTTCTCTGATGAAAGTAAATTTTGCATTTCCTTTGGAAATCAAGGTCCCAGAGTCTGGAGGAAAAGAAGAGAGGCACTTCATCCACGTTGCTTGAAGTCCAGTGTAAAGTTTCCACAGTCAGTGATGGTTTGGGGTGCCATGTCATCTGCTGGTGTTGGTCCATTGTGTTTTCTGAGGTCCAGGGTCAACGCAGCCACATACCAGGAAGTTTTAGAGCACTTCATGCTTCCTGCAGCTGACCAACTTTTTGGAGATGCAGATTTCATTTTCCAACAGGACTTGGCACCTGCACACAGTGCCAAAGCTACCAGTACCTGGTTGAAGGACCATGGTATCCCTGTTCTTAATTGGCCAGCAAACTCTCCTGACCTTAACCCCATAGAAAATCTATGGGGTATTGTGAAGAAGAAGATGCAATACACCAGACCCAACAATTCAGAAGAGCTAAAAGCCACTATTAGAGCAACCTGGGCTATCATAACACCTGAGCAGTGCCACAGACTGATCGACTCCATGCCACGCCGCATTGCTGCAGTAATACAGGCCAAAGGAGGCCCAACTAAATACTGAGTGCTGTACATGCTCATACTTTTCATGTTCATACTTTTCAGTTGGCCAACATTTCTATAAATCCTTTGTTTTTATTGGTCTTCAGTAATATTCTAATTTTCTGATATGATGAATTTGAGATTTTCATTTGTTGTCATTTGTAATCATCAAAATTAAACAAAATAAACATCTGAAATATATGAGTTTGTATGTAACTTATGAATATAATATACAAGTTTCACTTTTTAAATGGAATTACTGAAATCAATCTACTTTTTCATGATATTCTAATTTTATGACCAGCACCTGTAATCCCAAGTGGGGTCACTAGGGGTGCTGGTGCCTATCTACAGGTGAGAGGCAGGGTACACTCTGGAGAGGTCACTAGTGCATCACAGGGCAACACAGAGACAAACAACCATTCACACACACACACATTCTCACCTAGGGAGAATCTAGAGAAGCCAATTAACCTCACAATCAAAGCACCCAGAGAGAACCCATGCATGCTCAGGGAGAACATGCAAAACTCCATGCCGAAAGAGCCCAGGACGGGAATTGAACCCACAACCTTCTTGCTGCTAGGCAGCAGTACTCATGTTACTGGCACTGGCACAATGAGCACCCATAAGCCTCCCATTAATCCAATTTAGTGTTGTTACTGGAACCAGATATTCACATTTAAGTCACAAGTCTTATGTTTATTTACCAAACATTTTAGCCTGTTACCCTAAATATAACAGCAGACTGGTGGA